CCCAAGTACCCTGATATGTGATAATGGTGTCTCAACCAGTGAGCTCAACTCCCATTCTGCCGATTTTATTTTTTTCAAAGAACTCACACATGCAAACAAGGATCAGTGTTTACAATTTATAAAAAGTCCCACTTGCCAGTTTTTGGGGGGACATTTTGGGGGCTATTCTGTACATGCTGTGCTAAAACACCATCAGAACTGACCTCCCAAGTTCAGTATTTCTAAACTCTCTGGAATGCACAAGCCCCAAACCAGGCTGTGGGATGTCCCCACATGTCTAGCTATTTCCAACACATGCATCCCAAGGGCAAAATGTCCTGCTGCTTTAGCAACACAAAGCATCAGCCAACTACTTCAAGGCTGTGCTTCAGGGAGGCCCAGAGCCTGCTGGTTAGGAAGTCCAGGCAGCAGGACTCTCTTGTACTCCTTCTGTGAGCTACCCTGTGCTTTACTCCACGTCCCCCAGAACTACCAACCTTCAGGGGGAAGGAAGAGTGACTTAGGGCGTATTCTCAAACTAGAAAGGGAAACTACATCTCAACTGGAGACTAGAACACAGTTCCATGCGTGTCTGGCCAGCCATCAGTTACCCCTCCTTGGTGGGTCACATGGAAACCCTTGTGTGGACTTGCAAGTGCCACTGAGTTCCTGGGGTTGTGCTAATACTGGGTTGCTGCTGCTCTCAGGGCTGTGCTGAGGAAAGGAGGTCTCTGGGGGCCCCCAAGGGAAAGGGAGGCTCAGCCCTGCCACTGCCTCTACTTGAACGTTGGCTCTGGTCACCGTGGCGCCATGTAACAGGGCCACTAAAACTGGGTCAGAGTCAGGGAGTGCCTTGGCCTGCTGTGAGGTTGCCGCTGCACATGCCTCCAGGTGCACACTTCTGGATGCTGCTGCTCAAGGCAGGCTGCCAGGTGGGCAGCTGTGCCTGGTCCCAGCGCCAGAAGGGAGTGGCGCTACCTGGAGAGCACCCCCATGCACAGGTTGCACAACCCCAGCCCTGTGCTTAGGGACTCCCTATCTCTCTGTGTGCTACTGCTAGCCATACCTGCCTGTCAGCCTGGCTGACTGAGCTTGCAAAAGAACCACAGACAGCCACAGATGGGTCCCATCTTCAGCTGGTGCACAGTGCAATGACTGACAAACCCTGTGCCTGCTCAGTGGCTACATCAGAGATGGGATGAGCAAGCTAGAGGAGGCTGGGGCATGTAGACAACTTACATGGCCCACTGTAAGGTTCTGGCACAAGATGGAGGTAAAGAACTGCCAGCCCGCAGAGGCATCCAAGATGAACTCTGAGTACTGTTCGTGAACTTGCACTGGTATGCATCCCCATGAGCATGATCCTTGTTAGTGGGAACCGCGCAGCCAGGCTGCTCATCTGCTCGGAGATTCTCAAGTGACTCGGCCTTCCCACCAGGGTGACCATGTTGGGGGTGCAAAGAAGCAGGTGTGCTTTGGTGCAGCTGGACATTTCAGGACTCAGCTTCAGCTGAGCCATTAGTGCCACCCTCACATCTTGCATCTCAGCAGTATCAAGTGTCCCTTTGAAGCTGAACAGCCAAGGCTGTCCTGTCCCTGTGGCTATCCAAAGGCCAGGTCTTCATTCTATATTTACACTGCACATTCATTTCTTAAACAGAGACCCTCACCTCTCAACTGTGTAAGCCTCAGAGCCAAAGCCACCCAGATCTGCCTTTGCATCTTCCAGTGATGGCTGTGACAGGGAAGGGGATTTGTACTCCTGGCTCCTGGTGAGTTTGCTGGGATGCTTCCTGGCTCTCCTTTCCCCCTCCTTGTTCAGTCACTCTTTGCAAATTTGTGATGCTCTTGAGCTCCAACCAGACACCCAGCTGCCCATGTGTCACAGTTCCTTATATGTCCTGTCAAGCCTCCGACTCTGCACGCTCTAGCATACACTTGGCTGGCAGGTCTTGATTTTTTCCATGCACCAGCTGAAGAAGTCTGGGTGTCATTCCGCACAGCCCCTCTTTCCTTCCTGTCTCCCCACCACTACCACTCAGCCCCACACAATCAATCTTTGCTCTCTCCATCCCAATTACCAAGAGTCAAGTCACTGGTCTGCCAGGTGTGCCAACTCCGCTGAAATAATGCTCTGGTTTCCAAGTCTCACCCTGGGTTCCCCAGATCGATCTTCCACTCAGGTGCCACAGAAGTGCTCTTTTAAGAATATAAATCTGGGGCCTGGTACAGTAACCTAGTGGCTAAAGTCCTCACCTTGCATGTGCCAAGATCCCATAAGGGCAGTGGTTCTAATCCCAGCAGCCCTGCTTCCCATCCAGCTCCCTGCTTGTGGTCTGGGAAAGCATTTGAAGATGGCCCAAAGCCTTGGGACTCTGCACCCACAGGGGACACCCAAAAGAGGCTCTGGGCTCCTGGCTTCGGATTGGCTCAGCTACAGCTGTTGAGGTCGCTTGGGGAGTGAATCATTGGATGGAAGATCTTTGTCTCTCCTACTCTCTGTATACCTAACTTTACAATAAAAATAAACTAAATCTTAAAAAAAGAGTACAGACCTGATACTCCCACTGGCTACAGAACGTGCCGAGTATGTTGGCACAGCTTCCAGGTCCAGCTTCCAAGGTGAGGGGTGCTGTTGGCTTCACAGCCTTCCCCCAACCAGCTCCCATCTGCTCTCCTCTCAGCCTTGTGTTTCAGCCCCCGACTCGCTCCCTGACCTCCCAGGCAGGTCTGGAGGACATGAGCCATGTTTTATTCTTTATAGTGCCCAGGGTCCATTTGGCACACAGCAGGCATAGGCTAATCACTTTTCAGATAATGAATGATGGCTCTGACAGTTCACCTGTCTTTTAATTACTAACAGGTATGGAAATTCCACTCTATTGGGGCAAGCGCAATGGCTCAACTAGCTAGTCCTCATCTTACAAGTGCCGGCATCCTATATGAACACTGGTTTGTGTGCCGGTTGCTCCACTTCCCATCCAGCTCCCTGTTAGTAGTATTTGAAAGCAACAGAGGATGGCCCAAAGCCTCAGGACCTTGCACCTGCAATGGAGACCCAGAAGAAGATTCTAGCTCCTTGTTTCCAAGTGGCACAGCTCTGGATGGCTATTGTGGCCATTCAGGCAATGAACCAGCAACTGGAAGACCTGCATTTCCAATAATAATAAATAAATCTTTGAAAAAAATCCCACTCTTCCTCCAAGGCTCATGAAACATGTTATTCTAAATGAAAGCTCTTGTTTGAGTTAGGGCTAATGTACTAGAGAGAAATATTTTGATCTAACATTTTTAAGTCACAGATCTAAAAAATCGCCACCACTTAATTCTAAATTCTTTCATTAGGTGGCTGATTATTCCCATCCAGGGCATCCTGCTTTTCCTTATCTTAAAGCCTGTTCTCAAGTCTTTGCAATAGTATTTTACAATTTAAACAGCTTTTGCTATGTGTCATGCCCTGTGTTTTACATGCAGTAAGTGGCATCTGATAGGCTTTTTAACCTTCCTCAGAACCTTGATTAGAGAAACAAAGACAGCTTCACACAGCCAGACATGGAATGGAACAAGTAACTACTAGTTTAGCATGCTTTTTTTTTTTTTTTCAAAAAGCTCAGAGATTTCAATCGCTGGATCTTAACGAGCTCTGCTGAGATCTCCATGATCTGCCCTGGCCTTGATTTGCCACCCATGCTGGTAAAAGAGCTGGAGGCAAGTATTTGGCAAAACCCAAGATTTTCTGAGAGGCTCTACAGAGTGTTTTTGGCTTAGGCAAGAAGAAAACAAAAAACAAAAAACAAGTCAGACAGGGTGAAAAAGAGAGGAGAATCAAGATGCAAAGAGGAGTGTAGTGAAGGGAGAGCCTGTGAAGAGATGGTGCAGAAATCTGAGAAGGCCATGTGGCGAAAGAGCACAGGAGAAACCAGAAGGTACAGTGAGGCAGTGGCCCAGACCAGGAAGTGGCGAGGGTTAATAACAGAGGCTCTGGCCCATTTCTTAGAGTACATGAACAGACAGATGCTGAGAAGACCTGGAGATGCCACGAGACACAGCTCCTCCCCAGTAGGAGCCAGAGCCTCCCACTGGCTGCAGCATCCTACCGCGAAGAACTCCTCGGATCCCTTCTTAGAACCTCGCTGATTTTCTGGTCAATGGACTGACAAGCCACGCACAAGCAGGGCTATTTGCTCCCTATCCTTTCATTGAAGAAGCTGGCGCAGGACAGATGTGGACGGCACGGACTGGGATCTCTGATAGGTCATGTGGGTTTCAACACTACCTGTGCATCAAGCAGCTCAGAAAGCAAAAGGGAAGGACATAATGGAGTACTTCTGCTTTGCTGCTCCTTGAAGCCAATGTGGTTTTGATGGATTTCTAATATGCGTGTCAAGGGCTGCAATGCGTGCTACCTCTCTGTTCAGCTCTGCAAAGGACCTGAGTGACAATGGCGCTTTCGTCTTCAGGCAAGAGGGAGCAGAACACCCAAACCCTGCGTCCCCTCCTAACACTGGTTTGCTGTTTGCAGTGTCTCTGCGGAACCCTCTCTGCTTCCATTATTTTCTGATCACTTCCACCATGCTCGTGAGATAACTAGCTATTTTGCTGCGACCTCCTCTCACTCTTAATCTTTCACCTCTTTTGCTCACCTCCCACCACCCTCTTCCAAAAACCTCTGGTAGAACTCAGATTGGCTTCAGGGTGTAAGCGAGCGACACCTCACCACCATCCCAAAGGCATACAGCACTCCCCAGTCAGTCCCCTGAAGCCCCCCGGCCATCTACTCCAGGAAACACTGAGCTAGGCATCTTACCTTAACTAATTCTAACAGCTTAGGTTTCCTTAGAGACAAGAAGGAAAAAAAAATATTTACTGGGGGAACTCGGATGGGATTACTGTGGAGTAATTTGCACACACTTGTGTGCCCCAGGGCTATGCAGGGCTGGCTGGCACTCTGACTCATTTCTATGCCTGCTTCTCTCTCCGGAACTGGGAGCTCTTAAGTCTACCAAAAGGACCACCCTTACCTTTCTTGGCTTCACTTTATCGTGGTAGTCATACTGGAAGATTCCTTTATAGCTCAGGCCCAGCCACCACGGTATCCCTTGCTTGTCCTAGGAGAGCAAAAAGACAGTGGGTAAATAGAGGGCACTAGAAGGGCAACACAGATGCAGAGATTTCTGGGTCAATGAAGATACAGGAGCTCCTGGGAGAGGATGCAGCCCACCTTTTTTTTTTTAAACTTGAAATTTATTTGAAAGACAGAGTGATAGAGGAGAGATGAAGATCTCCCATCTACTGGATCATTCCCCAAATGGCTGCAATGGATTTGGGGAAAACAGGAGCCTGGAACTCCTTCCAGTCTCTCATGTGGGAGGCAGGGGCACAAGCACTTGGGCCATCTTCCATTGTTGCTGCCTTTGCAGGCAAATTAGCAGGGAGCTGGACTGCAAATGGAGCAGCCGGGAGCTGGCACTGTGATTTGGATGCCAGTGTTGTGGGGTGGTAGAGGGTGGCAGCTTAACCTAATGAATCCCAGCTGTCTCCCTCGCAGATGTGCCCATCATCCAGGGATGATAGGGGGCATGAACACAGACACCAAGACTGTGCCCTGGGCTTGGCGCAGGGCTCTGCTTTTAAACAGCAGCTCATGTCATGCTCTCCTCCCCTTTTATAAAGAAAGAGTATTTTTTTGTTGTTGTTCCCTTGTCAGATTTGGGTTTTCCAAGCTGGCCTCCTACTTATACTCAGGACAAAGGGAGAAGGTGAATATTCTAATAAAATGAACCAGCTTCTGAACAGAAAATGACCACTGGCTGTCACCTAGAGGGGATCCTGGAGACTCCGCAAGGTGCTTCCTCTCTATTTAAAGGTAAAGAAGTCAAGGAAGACAGTCCTACTTGTCTCAGGCCCCTCCCAACCCAAGGCACCAAGGACAGTTGAGGCAGGAAGTTGTGCCCCTCATGTCCCTGAGATAAGACAGCACAGTGGAAGCCAGGAGCTTCATCGTACTTCCCTATGTGTGGCAGGGGTCCAAGCCTTTGGGCCATCTTCTGCTGTCTTCCCAGGTGAGGTAGCAGAGAGCTGGATTACAAGAGAAGCAGCTGGGACTTGGTGCTCATATGAGATGCCAGCATTGTAGGTGGTGACTTAACCCACTGCACTAGTACCATAATATTGGGAGTTACTGTTAGATCCTTATGTTGCCTATATGGAAACGAGATGGCAAAATGGAAATGGGCTTCTCAACTCTCTCCTAGCAGTGTGGTTAACACTGGCAGCCAGCACAGCTCAACTGTGAGCCTCTTCATCACAACTGCAATGTCCTTTTGGAGAGCCAACCTGCCACTACTTTCATCTTACTCCCCGCCCCACGTGGGAGAGAGGAGACTCAAAGGGGTCTGGCCACACTGTCCATGACACACTAGAGCCTAGGGCAGGGCCGGTTGTGATGGCTACTTGAGTTCCGTGAGTGAGGGTGAAGATGGCGAAGCTAAAAGCTTCCATGGGGAGAACTTCAACAGCACTGCAGAAGAGTTGAAGCATTTTAGGGTTTAACAGTTCCTGAGCCAAGCTTCTGGAGGAAAGTGAAGTTGTTAGAGATTCTTCAAAGCTCTGTCCTCATTCACCCCAGGTGGTGTTCTGACATTTGTTTCCATTATGGAAATGCATATAAACAACCGCTCATTTTAGTTATGAAGCAACTTAGTAAGCATTTACTGAGCATCTGCAATGTGCCAGGCCTATGCTGGGTTCTGGGAACACACAACAGAATCCAACATGTAGTCTATGTTATCCAACGCCCGTAGCACAGCAAAAACACACAGGCCACTAAATGCACACTGATGAAGCAAAAAGTATAGCACACACTGTCAGATGACACAAAGTGTGTGACTTAGGAATTTTAAAAAAATGTTTATGCTCATTCTCTTTAAAGTCAGAGGGGAGACGGAGAGGGAGCTTCCATTTGTTAGTTCATTCTCCAAATGCCTGCAACAGCTTGGCATTGTACCAGGCCAAACCCAGATCCCTGAAACTCAACACAGGTCTCGCATGTGGGTGATAGGGTCCACCCCAAATTATCTGTTGCCTTCTAGGTGCAGTAAGAAGCAGCTGGATTAGAAGCACAGTAGTCAGGGCTTGGGCCCACACTTCTATATGCAATGTGGGTGTACTAAACAGAGACTTAATCAATTGTACCGCCATGCCTGTCTCATGTTAGTCTAACAGAATGAAAAATACAGTTGGGTGGAAACATGGGGAAATATTTAAGTGAAAGAACAAGAAAATCTGACATTGGCTGAACTGTCTTAAGCTCAGAAAGATTTTCTGCTCTTTTTGACTGGACGTTGGTGGCAAACCTGAAGGAGTAGAAAGGGATCGTTAGGGGATACCCTTCTGTGTTATTTCAAAGTTGAGATCCCATGATAGGCCCCAAAGCACTGTCTGGTGACGTTAGCAGTTCTAGCGTTCCACAGTGCAGTGGTGATGACTAGAAATCACAAGGTTTTATTCCTGTATAAAGATATGGAATAGAAGAACTAGCAGGCATCAAATATAAAGATAAGAAAATGGGAAGGCTGCTTGCTGAGTACGGTTGTTGTACTCTGCATATGTGTGTTACTGTATTGTACTATACTCCACAAAAATGTACACACATCACATTTAATCCAAGTTTTTAAATTAATTAAAAAACGAAGACAGGGCCCGGCGCGGTGGCGCAAGTGGTTAAAAGGTCCTCGCCTTGCACCCCCGGGATCCCATATGGGCGCCGGTTCTAATCCCGGCAGCCCCGCTTCCCTTCCAGCTCCCTGCTTGTGGCCTGGGAAAGCAGCAGAGGACGGCCCAAAGCTTTGGGAACCTGCACCCGTGTGGGAGACCCGGAAGAGGCTCCTGGCTTCGGATCGGCATAGTATCGACCCGTTGCGGCTCACTTGGGGAGTGAATCATCGGACGGAAGATCTTCCTCTCTGTCTCTCCTCTCTGTATATCCGCCTTTCCAATGAAAAAATAATAAAAATAAATCTTTAAAAAAAAAAAAAGCGAAGACAAGGGCCCGGCGGCGTGGCCTAGTGGCTAAAGTCCTCGCCTTGGGCCCGGCGCGGTGGCGCAAGTGGTTAAGTCCTTGCCTTGCACGCCCGGGATCCCATATGGGCGCCGGTTCTAATCCCGGCAGCCCCGCTTCCCTTCCAGCTCCCTGCCTGTGGCCCGGGAAAGCAGTTGAGGACGGCCCAAAGCTTTGGGACCCTGCACCCACGTGGGAGACCCGGAGGAGGCTCCTGGCTTCGGATCGGCATAGTATCGGCCCGTTGCGGCTCACTTGGGGAGTGAATCATCGGATGGAAGATCTTCCTCTCTGTCTCTCCTCCTCTCTGTATATCCGCCTTTCCAATAAAAAATAATAAAAAATAAATCTTTAAAGTCCTCGCCTTGAACGCACCAGGATCCCATATGGGCGCTGGTTCTAGTCCCGGCAGCTCCACTTCCCATCCAGCTCCTTGCTTGTGGCCTGGGAAGGCAGTCGAGGACGGCCCAAAGCCTTGGGACCCTGCACCCGCGTGGGATACCCAGAAGAAGTTCCTGGCTCCTGGCTTAGGATCTGCATAGCATCGGCCGTTGCGCTCACTTGGGGAGTGAATCATCAGACGGAAGATCTTCTTCTCTGTCTCTCCTCCTCTCTGTATATCTGACTTTCCAATAAATAAATAAAATCTTAAAAAATAAAAATGAAGACAAGATCATAGCTTGGGACACTATAGACAAAATTAAAGATATGTCAGAACTGGGTCAATGTCACACTGGACTTGCTATCATAACCCAGTTTCTGAAATCCATGCACACATATAAGTGTTTTTGAAAAACACTCATGGAAAATAATATATTAGAAACAAACCATGCATGGGTTTCAACTTTTCTTTTCACTAAAATAAACTTATCTTTTAATTTAATTCTCCTATGAACTGGTTGAAGGACCGAAAAGGAAAGCAAGTGTTAGAGAGTACATAAGTCACATCCTGGGGCCTCACTGGTAAAATTCCACAACCCAATCCGTTCCAGCACAGTATCCTGTTGACCAAGTCCCATTGCCACCCTTCGACCCACCAAGTAAAATCTGCAAGACTGAAGGAAGAAAGTCAGAGACATCTTCATTTGTCTGTTTAAGGTGGGGTTTGTGACCTTCACCAAAAGGGCGAACTTACCTTCACTGCATAATAGTGGACCCCGTAGGTTGGGAGAGACTCCACGATGCTCATATAGCTAAGAAGACAACACAAACACAGGCTGGTTATTCCACAGAACTGGCAGCATATTTTCTGTCATGTGTGGTAAAGGTCTTGGGGTGACCAGTTAACTTGCAAGTTGAACATGAAATAACACCCCTACCCACCCTTGCCTGGCAGTGGCTTTCTGAGTGGAAACAAGCCACTCTGCTGTGAGACACTTATCCACACCCAGAGGTGGTCCAGGTGAGGACCTGGTAGAGCCACTTACTTCACAATCGCCTGCCCTCTCGTCTGGCCGTTCAACTTCTTGTAGTGCTCAATGACTCTGTCTTCACTGGAATTGGAAGGGAAAAAGTCAGTTAGGAGCATCCCCAGGTCAGCCACTGAGGGAGGCACTTCTGAGTTTCAGAGACCTTGTGATAACCTCTGGGGAGACCCGGACTGTGGGACACACGCTTCGTCCTGGGTGACATTTCCTAGCCCAGATGGAATGAAACCTCTTTGGAGATTTGCTGGATAGAAAAAAAAAGCCCGGGCCCGGCGCGGTGGCGCAAGTGGTTAAGGTCCTCACCTAGCACGCCCGGGATCCCATATGGGCGCCGGTTCTAATCCCGGCAGCCCCGCTTCCCTTCCAGCTCCCTGCCTGTGGCCTGGGAAAGCAGTCGAGGACGGCCCAAAGCTTTGGGACCCTGCACCCGCGTGGGAGACCCGGAAGAGGCTCCTGGCTTCGGATCGGCATAGTATCGGCCCGTTGCGCTCACTTGGGGAGTGAATCATCGGACGGAAGATCTTCCTCTCTGTCTCTCCTCTCTGTATATCCGCCTTTCCAATGAAAAAATAATAAAAATAAATCTAAAAAAAAAAAGAAAAAAAAAGCCCATTCCTTCCCCACCCAGGAAGGCCTGTCTTCTGGTTATCTGGGGCATCTCATGTGTGGAAGAGGGTGAGGCGCTCAGCGCAGAGGCCAGGTGCTCATGGGAAGCAATGCCACAGGAGAGCGGAAGGCCCCCTCAATAGAGATTATCAGCTGACACTGTGGTCTAGTCCCCTCAGATCTCCCTTCTCACTCCTCACGCTGTCCACTCAGCGCCTCAGCAAACAGGCATGGGAAGGCACCGACCTCCCTGACAGCTCAGAGCCTACCTATTCTTGATGAATAGTGAGGAGCTGCAGATGGAAAGTTCTGGAATCTGAGCCTAGGCAACAGAAACTAGAGTCATAAAATTCCCAGAAAGAACCACAAACCAGCTACTAGAAACACATGGAAACCTTTATATTTTGAAATCCTGAGTTCTAACACAACAAGAGATTAGCTGGCTGCATGGTAGATGTGTCCAGTCAAGCTTTCCTGGGGCAAGGTAGAGGGCAGCCTGGGCAGGCAGCACAGACTTCTGTGAGAGGGAACTCTGGCTGCTCCCATCTGAGGCTGTCTTTAGATCAGCATGGCTCACCTTGCAAATTAAAGGGAACAGGGCTGCAGGCAGTCCCCTGGTCCCAAAGTCTCTGCCTCTACAATGGGGCCACATGGCCTTGGACCCCAATTTCTCACCATCTGCCTCTCTCACTTCCTCAAGGGAGCTTCCTGTCCTCTGTGAAAGCTCTGTGAGAGGAAGTAGTGACAGATCTAGAGGATCAATCATTAATTTATTATCTTAGGACGCAGTTAAAGCCTTCTGCTCTTTTTTTTTCAGCCAGGCAAAAGTGCCATGTATACCCACTGTCTGGACCTTGGCAGTGCCTTGGTTCTCTTTTGATTACCATCTTCATCTTTGATGAACATTGTTTTACCTTAGCATTCTGAAGTTTGGCGGACAAAAGCTAGATGGGGCTCTTAACAGGGAGGGACCCAATAATAATCCCAACAGGGACTGATGTTCTAGGATGGTCACTTCTGAGGGTGGTCTGGAGCCCTCTGCTCAGGAAGGGGTACCAGCCGTACTTCCCCTGAGCATGCTGTGCAGGTCTAGCTCACGTGCGCCAAGATCCCCCCTGCTGGCAGCACTTGAGCAGTGTCCTCTCAGGCACAGGCTACAGCCTGGCTAAGCCTTTGAGCTGTGCTCAGGACGTTTTGAGATTGTTCTTCAGCTTCCTCCCCATCCAGTCTGCACACAATAGGCCCATGGGCAAGCTTGGGAATTGTGTGAGGTTGACTCCCAGACTCATGGTCAAGCAACTCAGTTAGACAGCAGTCTATTTCCTTTGTAGCTTGGGGAGGGAGAGATGACAGTCAATGTATGCTGTGGCTGTGAACACAGAGAAGCTCCAGAAAAAAAACAAAAGGAAAATAAAGTCCAGGGTGCAGACAGGCAGCTATTCAATTGTTTTCCAATTAAACAGCCTGAGCGCTGCAAAAGGCTTTGCCACCTACAGCCAGTCCTGAGCAAACCAGGGAAGTTGGTGACCTCCTTGCTTTGCTTTTCCTGCTCCCTTTAGCATCCTTCAACACTTCTCTTTCATGCCAGTGAGAGCCCACTCTGCCCTTGCTATCCTTATCCTCTGCAACTCCAAGTCTGATGGACAGCTTTCCAGTACCCCTGGTCTGTGATGCAGGGACTCTGTGGGATTCACCGTGACTCTAAAGCACTCTCTGGCAGACCCAGCATTACATGCAGGAAGTCCGTGTCTGACCAAGTCTGAATGCACCCTGGTCACAGGCTGGGCCACGACACAAAGTTAAATCATCTCTGGGCAGAAAGGAGCTGTGGGAAAAGCATGGTGATGGAAGCATGATGTGTCTGGGTATCCTTCACATCTTGTGGAAACCTGTTGGCCTGCAGGGTTTGGGAGGTAGGCTAACATTCTAAAAGCTGGGCCCACAAGGAAGATTCTGGGTTCGAGTCTGGCCGGCACCTTGCTCCATGATCCTGGGCACATAATTTTAACTTCCTGCAAAAAGACCTTCTCCATGGAGCTGCTGCATGATGAGCCAAGTCCATGCTTGCTAAGTGCTTGGGGGAAAATTAGCAAAAAGCAAAAGTGCATCATTGCTCTGCAATAGTCTGAAAAGTCACTGCTCTCTAACTCCATTCTGTGATGTATTATTTCTGCTCTTCATTATAGTCAGAAGTTGCTTGGTGTGGTTACTCCTAGTTTACAGACTGAGAAACTAAGGAGCCCACAGTTCAGAAACATGGAACTACAACTCTGTTTTACTAGGCTATAAAGCCTGTCCTGGTAGTGTGGATGGGTCCTCCCATGCCCTCCGCGGCTTTAGCCTGGGGATTGTCCATTACATCTGTGAATGCTGGGGGAAGCAGGAGAGCCCCAAAGCACAGTGAAGATGTATAATTTGTTCAGGAATGATCAGGACAATCAGAAACTGTGAGAAATGTGATTTGGATTGGGATGAAGGTACCAAAATGATTTCTTCCACCAGTGCAAAGTCAGGATGATACACGGTGGCGCTAAGACCAAGAGGAGAACAGGAACGAGTGCAGCCTACTAGCTCCCACTCCACCACTCGTCGCTGTCCACATAGAGCATGAGTAACATTTATTCCTCCCAATAAGTCTTAGCTTTAAAAAAGGAATCTATACAAATAGGTTGGAATATTGTAGCCAACCACAACTAGCCAGCCATGATGGAATGAGTTGGGAAGCTTTGCAATTTCTTTCTTTCTTTCTTTCTTTTTTTTTTTTTTAAAGAAATGTATCGTCAGGAGGGTTCATGCTACCCAATTGCTTATACGTTAGTGGGGCTATGATGTGGAGGGCACCTGACTTCACCTGTCCTGTCTCTCAGTGCATTTAGACAATGGCCTAGGTCCTCTTAGGTTTGAGTGAGGCTCAAGGAAAGAGCTGGCCTGATCATAAAGATGGAGGGGGAAACACAAGTTGTTCATTGTGGCGGTTAATCTGCATTCCGTATCAGAGGACTTGTCTTGGAGTCCTGATCCCTCCTCCATCCCAGAGTCTTGCTAATGCACACTCTGGGAGAGAACAGGTGATGGCTCAAGTACCTCAGTTCCTGCCACCCACATGAGCGATGCGGGCTTGGATTCTTGGCTCCTGGATGTGGTTTGGCTGAGCTCTGGCTGTTACAGACACCTAGGGAGTGAAGCAGTAGAAGGGAATTCTGCCTTTCAAATGAGTTATATAAATAAATGTGGGATGTGCTGGCATTTAAGTAGCTGTATGTGTAGATGGAGGCGAAATCATTCATAGTGATAAAAGACAGAAGGCATGTGCTTGGGGGAAGGTGTTTGTGTAACAATATGAAAGCACAGGATAGATGGTGGGAACAAAGAGAAATCCAGAATGAGAGCTAGAGAGCGAGTGAGAGAGAAATTCCTACCTAAAATATGAATGATGAGATGGTTGAAGGATGGATGAGGCCAAAGGCAACTCTGACTCCTGCAACCCACTGGGACTGCAACCCCGAGAAGCAACTGTAGTTCTCTAAAAAGGAACTGCTGGTCTCCCTAGTCCTTTCCTCCTCCTTAACTCCATCATGACTTCTTTCCTCAGCATGAATATTTAGGGAATACAGAAGGCAAGGCTCAGGGGGCTCAAGGACTTGGGGAGGACGACAACTACTAGCTTTGCATAAGGAAAGGGCAGACTGTAAGACCCAAGGGTTAGAAGTTGATGCATCCAAAATCCCTGTGCTCTCCTGGGCCAGGTGCAATGGCAGCAAGGCACCGCCTGTCTATATCTGTATTACTTGAGGAACAGTGATAATGCAACAGCTCAGAGAGGCAAACTGAGGATGCCAGTTCATAGTCTGAGACTCAGGTCCAATTTTCACAGGGCTGTGGTCTCTCAGAAAAGAATGGCTTATGAATTGGAGCTTACTCTTGCTAAAGGCTTCTGCAGTAAGACACGTGCTATCCCAGCCATAATACCTGCTGAATGACCCAGCAAGTGGGTGACTATCCAGTAGAGTGTCCAGCTCAGATGAAATGCAGGGTGTACAGCAGGGTTTGCTGTTGTGCACCTTGGGAGAGGGTCACTCCACTTTTTTTTTGTTTTGCACTGCTTTTCACAGAAGCAGCTACACTGCTGTCGGTTAGAGAGCCTGGAGGCCCACCAAAGAGGCCACACAGTCCCTGGCAGAGGGCAGTGGCAGGGTTTATGAGCCCAGTGAGATGTCACCACATTCCCCAGGAATGCAGCTCTGCTCTGGTGTGGCCCAAATCCATGATCTGGGGGCCCTTTCAAATGCCCAAAGCATTCAGAATCAGTCTTGTAGGGCCCTGCACACAAATTGTGGCAAAATGCTACATGACAGCTAAGTCAGGAGACAAAAACCACTGAGAGGCAAGGGAAAGAATCTACCTCCCCTACAAAAAGAAAACCCTGCAGATCTCCCATGTTGTGGAACCCCACACATTTGGTCCAAAAGGGAAAAAGGTTTCAGAAGGAAACTTGACCAGCATATGGAAAGCTCTTGAAAGAAGCAAAATGTCCCATGTGAAATCTGAGAAGGTTTAAAAGGGGAACAAAGAGAGGAGAGCTCTCATACACAACATGCCAGTTAAACACATGCAACAAATGGTCCGCAGTTACTGAACCCATCCCAACAGACACACGGGAGCTGGCAGAGGGCAGGCCCAGCTGGCTGAGCCCCATGCTTGCCTTGGGGATGGAGCGGAGCTTACCAGTAGGCCAGGGAAGGGTGCTCCTTCAGGGCTTGGGTGGGAAGGGCTGGCAGCTTCTTCAAGTCACTCCTCACGACTTCATTGCTGCATGAGAAAGAGCCAGAAACACACTCAGCTTCCAAGAGAATAAACCTTGCCATCGGGTACAACCTGACCCAGCTGCCTTGTCTAGGAGACCACACATCTGTTCCCTGTTAGTGGAAGGCCATGGGAAAAGGGGGTAGGCTTGCTTATCATTTATTTATTTAATATAGATAAAAAAGAATGTGTGGTTTGGGCAGCCACCTCTCCTGGTCCAGAACCGGGGCATGGGCACACAGGTGGCAAGGAAGCCTTCAAGCCCTGCCTTCACCAAGGGGTGCAGAGCAAAGGCCCCAAAGCAGTCCTCTACATGGACAGTGGAGGACAAGGGTACCCAGGACTCTGCTTCCAGGTCCACAGGGCTCCAAGGAGGGTTGAGCCACTGCTTGCACCACCCTGATAGTGCCAGTTTTCTTCATACTCAAAGCTTGCATGCTGCAATCTGTCGGCTACAATGCAATTACATAGATAACTTCTGCTTTTGACAAGGCCAGGAAAGTGTTTCCATAGTGTCAATAGCTCCATGTACTCAGATCTGAAGTCCCCTAGTGTAGACCTGTAACCCCTTCAGATGCTCAACTGCTCTCTGGACAGTCTATCTGCTTCTCACCCAGGCTTGTTATTTGTGGGGTTTGTGCCCATTCACTACCTCCTGCACCAGCAGCAGCTACTCCTGGATGGTTCTGCCATCCCTATCTGCTCCTCCAAGAGCTTCAGATACCTCTCCTGGGGCTTCAAAAGCTTATTTCAGGGAGATGTGTCTTTGACCCAACAGTTCTACTTGGGTCATTTTGGCAGTTGTGTTGCACATACAAAGCAAAGCAAACACTGGCAACCAGGACACAAAGTGGTACCAGCAAGAAGAGATAAATTCAATAAATAAATAATACGAGGGTAGGAAGAGATACTGTAGACACAGGTAGGAACTTTGGAAGCACTTGGATGAGAACACCCCCAACACCCATGCCGCCAACTAAAGATGTATGGCTGCATGGCTGCCAACAGAATCAGGAGCCCCACATGGGATGCTTGGTGTCAGTGAGGAAACCCCTCCCAATACCTGACTGTCACGTATGTGACATGTGCACAGATATTTGGTGGCATTTCTGCTGCCAGAAAGGGCTTCTTTTAAGTGCACTGATAGATCACGACTATGCAGTTTGGGAATCCTGGCTTCTAACACCCAACCAGATGGAGACTCAACTTAAGTTTGTCTGAAAGGCTGTATCTGAGTACTTGAATTGATACAATCAAAGCAGTAAGGAGATTTATCAGTTAATATTCAATGCGATCAAGGTAAGGAACACCTGTTATAATGAAAACTATTGTGGGGATATGAAACAATGATGAGAGACCTAGTCCTTACACAAAAAGTGTTCACAGTTTGCCTTGGAAGTGAGGAAATGGTCATGCATACAAACATACAGGACCTTAAAGGTAGATCACATCAGTTCAAACTACAAAGAAAGGGATCTGTGGATGCTGGTACAAGAGCAGGCTTGAATAAAGAAAAGGAGAGGGATGTTACTTTCCTCCTTGATGGAAGAGAGCCAAGCCATGGAGCCTACTTAACATGAACTAAGAGGCCAACTAGACTGCATGGCATGCGAGGAGTAACCAAAGGGGATGACTGAGGCAGGCATTGACTCCTGAGCCTCTCCAATGCCAGGCTAAGAGAGGTCCAGTAGATCCAGTAGGCAACAGGAGAGCAACTGGAGGTTTTCATGTTTAGCAAGAGCTTATTTCCAAGTATGAGTTGGAACTTTACTCCGCTCTCAGGCAAATGTTCAGCTCACTGAATACTCCAGGGGCTGAATTTCTGGGCCTCTTCTCCCTGTTAAGTGCCCTGACAACAGGGATCTGATTCCCAACTCCATCAGGGCAGGGAAGGATGCTTTCAGCACTGGAAGGCACTTTTATCAGGTAGACTTTCATTGGCTGAAACTCCCAGAAAGGTAATTAGCAGCTCCTTTATGGAGCCGAAACTTGAGCGACTCCCACTCATCACACCTGAAGTCTATTTGTGGTGGGAAGGTGATACTGCAGGAAGGGATCATTTTACCCAGCAAACACTCGTTTGTTGTCAAACAAGTCCCTCTTCTCCCCGCAGTGACAGCCCCAGGTTTGATTTCTTATTGAAGCTTGGGTTGTCTAGTTCTCCTCCAAGGCAAGTTTATAATAGAAAAATACAAGCAGAATTCAGCAAGGCATGAAGCCCATCCAAATCCACTACTTTCTGGAAGGGATCCACGCCTCTTACTCCTTCCCATAGGACAAGCACATAGAAATGTTCCGTTTGCCTCTCTGATGTCTAGGAACACCTGCAATAACTTAGGGGTGTCCAGTCCTGCCAATCTGGCCAGACTGTGGAGTTGAACATCACAGAGCTGCTTTAAGGGGAGACAGTCATTGTATCCCCAGAGTTGCACGGGCTGCAGCCTAACAAATGTGCCTCAATTCCTTTGTCAGTGTCTTTCAACCTGATGTTTTTCCCAGAGTTCATTGCACCTGACAGATATCATCTTAAACAGCTCTTTTAAATAGTTTACCTAACTGTCATGAAGGCCATGTTTGGAAAAAATAGATTGACAGGTTTCTTGGAGAGTCAGTTATTTAGCTGAGAACAAAATCCAGGTCTTATTTTTAACATTCATCTGATTTTATTCAAATCTTCCAGTTATGAATGTGGCCGGTCATGACCTCCCATTCCAAAAAGTTGCTATGTTAATGCTATGCTGGTTTTATTTATATTTATTTATTTAGGGAAGGTTTTTGAGTTGATATCCCTATCTTCTACTGCCTATACTGCTCATGTAACATGGAAAGGATGACTTGGGGAAAAGTGAAGGATTCTAGCAATACATCAGGGTTTTCTTACAACATTAACAATCTCAGCCAAGATATCGCAAAGAAAGCAAATACTCAACTTTAGATCAACATGGTGAAAATCTACAATGTGTCTTCCTCTATGAAACTAGGAAATAACTTTTCTAGGGAATTCCTTGTGGGCTGAATGAACTGTCTGACATTTGTTGGGGAATCCTCAGAGCCATACGAGAGGGCTCCGAAAGGCATGTGGGATCTGGAGATAAAACTGCACATTTCCTGTGAAATTTTGGAGTCTCCTCAGGTGCTGACTGTGGGAGAATTCATCGTGAGAGCAGGAAGTGAAAGAGTGTGATCCATGCTGCTACAGAATAGAGCTGTAAATCCACAGTCCACTAGCGGAACATGAGGGAAGAACTGAACACTTGGAAGCAGTAATAACATACTTGTGTCTGTCTTACTTTTCCATTTTTATGAGCATATCATGAAGGCCAAGTTCCCAGAGAGGGGCAGCTCCCCACCAAGATCCATTATCTGCAACTTAAAGCCTAAAAATATCTGAGAAACAGGGACCTGCATAACAGCTCAATTGGCTAATCCCCTCCCCCTCTGCTGTAAGCAAGCAGGAGGAACCCATATGGGCACCTGTTCATGTCCTGGCTGTTTCACTTCTGATCTAGCTCCCTGCTTGTGGCCTGAGAAAGAAGTGGAGGATGGCCCAAAGCCTTGGGATCCTGCACACATCAGGGAGACCCAGAAGAGGCTCCAAGCTCCTCCTGGCTGCTGGCTTCAGATTGGCTTAGCTCTGGCGGCTGTAGACATTTGGGGAGTGAACCAGCAGATGGAAATCTTTCTGTCTCTCCTCTACAAAACTGCCAATAAAAAATAATTACACCTTAAAAAAATAGTGTAAGAAACAAACCTTTCATAGCCTGTGGTGGCAAACCTAAGCTTTTTATCAGAGGCAATGTTTGACCCATTTCTGTCTCACGAAGTGTGAACACCCATGTTTCGGTGCAGTAATATTGAATATGTTGTTCCAGATCCTCCCCAGGGTGTTAGGGAACACAGGGTACCAGCACTGAATCACCCATCTCTGAACTTAGAAATACTGGAATCCCAAATTTTGCACTGTGGGTCAGCCATCCTTTATTCTGTCATACAAAGATCCCAGGGAAATCAGAGGCAGCTGAATAAGAGAAGGTACAGATTTCTTTCTTTCTTATTGATCGTTAAACATAATAAGGAAACAGTATCCTTGCTCTTCCTTTCTCCCCTCCCTCACCATTTCACGAAGCTAAGGTTACAATGAAGAACATGGGAACACGTGGCCTATACACACTTTTTCCTCAGGTCTGTAGGGACCACTCAGTGACACTGGTGGTCTCCATCATGCAAGAAAGGGTTTTGTGTCACAGGACCACATCCCCTCTGTCTGACCTGCTGCTGCTACATTGAGCCATTTAGAGAAAATGGGAAGCACCTGCAGACCCCTGGAGAAGTTTTCCAGCATGGGATTTGGGATTCTGGATTCTAGATATGTGTCATGGACAAATACATCCTAAATGGGTTCCATTTTTCAGGTGAACCGAGGGGCAAAATTGCAAACACATTTAAGACTTGCCTGCCTGCATTTCTGATGGTAATTATTCAGTGACGTAACTAAAGATATCTTTCTTGATGAATCAATCTAATTTCCTAGTGGGGGAGGGAAACTTTGTGAATTTCTAAGTTGTAAATAGATAAAAAGTTTGTCAAAAAAAAATTGTTCTCAAGTGTGTAAATTGAGGCAGATCATTTTCCTTGAACAGCATCAGAAACAACTGACTACTCTTCTACATCACCACACTTTACATCGGAAAATCCCAGCTCTGCAAAATGACCCACATCCTGGCTACTCACAGTGAACTCCAAATACGAGGCATTGGCATTAAATACGCGTGACCAGAGAAGCAGGCTGCCAAAATACACAATTTCCTTCTTAATACCCACAGGAGTTGAAGAACATCATCTTGCAAAAATTCCTATCCAAATTCTGTTTTAGACTATAAAAATGTGAATTACACACGGGCAGGCTCAGTTAAATGGACTCTGGTGCACAAACAAAGCTGTCTGAGACAGTTTCTCACTTTTCCACTGGAGCATTCTGAGTTTTTGATTCTCCTGCTTTTAAAAAC